AGACGAGAGGGTTGAGAGAAACGCACGTCCGCGTCGCCTCGCATATATTCGCCCTCCTCGTTCCGAGGGACTCGCGCGGATCGGCGATAGCGATTGGCGATTATGTTAACCAAACACGCGCGGTACACGCCCCTGCAATTTGCCTTGGGATCATCTTCCCCTAATCGCCGCGCTAATAACAGGATTACGGGGGTCCTGACCGCGCGGTACGTATACTTATCCCTAATTCGCCGTATCGTTATTAATATATACGATACAATTGAGAACGGGGCCCGGGCGCCCCCCTCCCCTCCCCTCCTTACCCGCGATAAGTCCTGCGATATGTGCACATATACGTGTACATATATGGGGAGCCCCGTCCACACGTATTCTCAAACCGCCGAAATGCGGGCTCTTCGTTACACTGTGTGCATCGTTGGAAAATTTGTGTGAAATTTAACATATTTCATGTGGAAATTTAACATATCTCAAATGGTCCGGTCAAATTTTCATGTTAAGTTAACATAAGTTGAATAGTAACATAGATATATTGTGCAAAAAATTATCACAAAAAAGGCGATGCAGTTAGTAAATAAATTATGGAAGCATATTTTTATATTTATTCAGCAATAGTTAATATTTATCATACGTTAAATTAACACGTATTTCATTCATTCATCAATCGAAAATTTATGTTTTAAAAAATACATTATTTTTATGTTACCTGTTCACTTATTCGTAAATTGTGTGATTGTGACGCTAAAACACTATTGAAACAATATTGAATATCAATTTAACAGACAATATTTAAATAATATAATCATATTAATGTTAAATTGATACTTGAGAATACGTTAAAAATTCAATATAAAATTTTAACAAGAACGTAAGTGGATCGTTTCCAAAATATTTTTTACCCTGTAACGTACGTTCCTCTCTTCATTTTCAACGACGTATTTTATTTCGAAAAGCCGCTCGAGTTCACGACAGTGCGAACTCGCATCTAACGAAGGTGCGACGATCCGATCCGATCCGATCGCTCGCGAGGTACGCATCAAATTTATTACACCGCCGGTGTGCGGATATTCATGAAATAAATATGAGAGGGATAGGAAAAAGAAATGGACTTACGTGTAGTGCGAATAAGACGGGCTGGCTTGATCGATGAGAGCGGCGGTTGACAAGCCTTGCGCGATGGCAGCCGAAGGATCCCTAGCTGGCGAGGAATTCTGCGTCGCCGCTGCCGCCGGTATAGCGTGATGGTAGCGCTGGCACATTTCGGCCAAGTTCCACCCATGGGCATCCATATATTAGCACTGCTTCGCTTTTCTTTGGCGTACCATCCATTTCACACGCGTTGCGATGCACACTCTCTCTCCCTCTCCCGGTTCTTCCGTTTTTTTTCCCCCTTTTTCTTTTCTCTTCTCTCAATAATTCACTCGCGTTCTACGTCTCTATGTGTGAGGTAAAAACTACACTCGCGACAACGATGATGTACAACGTCCAGTCGACGGGGACGTCCTGCGTGCGCCGCGATTCTCCGATGACTTCGCCTCGCCTCCACGCAGGCACGCGCACCGCCTGTTAATCAGGAAAACAAATCCATTTACTTGGCCGTTAACGACACGCGTATACTTATTTAGAGAATGATCGAGAGACGCCGTTTAAAAAAAGACTTCATGCCGACAACCGTTATGAATTTAAAATGAAGTTACGTCTGTCTGTATCACACTAGCGATTGACAATTGCAACTCGCAACTCTTTTGACTAATCAAAAAAGAACTGCTAATCAACTCCTTTCTGATTGGGTCAAGAGATATAAACATAGACGCAATCGCCAATTTGTCATTAGTCAGCACAAAAGCTTGCATTTTCAATGTTAATATGCAATATTGCTGGAATGTTACAATGTTGCTGCAATATTGCTGAAACGATCTGTGCTGTATGGGTAGCGTGATACGGACATTACCTTTATCGGCGGGCGAATGCATGACGGAACAAATAATTATTGTAAATATTACGAAACAGCAAGAAAAGAACGGTTTTGCTGAAGTATTTAAATATTTAGTTAGATATAGATCTGAAAATATAACTTTGTTGTTGTTGGATATTATTAAAATAATTATGTAGAACGTTCAACTGGATGTTAGAATGATAAAACTTTTTTTATGACATTGGTCATCATGCTTGAGTTTTCTATCGTAATGATGGCCTAACAAAATTATTTTTAGATCAGTAGCTACTTAAATTTTTAAAAGCTTTAGCAAAGTCATTCTTTCCGTATGTACTAACATGTCACAATCGTGTGACATAAAACTTCGCTTACGGAAATGAAAAGTTGTAAAAAAATAATGTAGCAAATACTTGTTTGACGCGACGCGACGCAAATTATTTGGTGCAAAAAACATGAATGTTGGTGAATTCATGAACTTATGAAATTAGTTTCCGTTGCTGTCCATTCGATTATAATGAGATTTTAATCATTCGCGTTATTGTGGCGAATTTATAAAATGTTCTCCAGCAAAGTTTACAACTTCAATGACTTTCAAATGCGCGTTCAAATACCTAACGGAACAACTAAATCTCGCGTTACATAACCCTTCCCCCCCCTTTCTCTCTCTCTCTCTCTCTCTCTCTCTCTCTCTCTCTCTCTCTCTCTCTC